GGGTGCATATACTTTTGGGATCAAACTGATCCAAGATCACTTCGATCGTACAAATCGTGTATACAAACGAACTACTGTGATCCGATCGATCTCTATTTGCGTATACAAACGCCATCTAGGATCAACTGGATCTCGATCAAACTAATCCTAGCGGAGGGTAGGATCGTTTGGATCGGATAAAAGAGATTAAAGATGGCGGCTTCCATGATCGAAGTTAAGCTGACAGTGCATTTCTTCCTTTTCCTATTACTATTTCTTTTGATTGTAATAAAATCGGAACAAGATCCTTCAGTAAATTTTCGAAAGTAAGTCGACTTACTCGAAAGTGTTCTTTAAAAACATTTGGCCTATATTCTAATGCAACCTCTGAAACATAGTTATTTTGCATACCGAATTTTTTTTTCTTACTTTTATATTGTGTTAAATAATTAACCAAAATTAATTCTTCTTCCTCGGATTCTGAATCCAATTCCGATAATATTTCTAAAATGATTCCTAAACTTGCCGCCATCTTCGATCCTACTGTTATACTTTCCGCCATGACAGAAGCTATCTGTATCACGTGACAAGGACTGATCCGATTTTACAGATCGATCTATACAAAACGAAAAGTATATGCACCCAAAGACTACGTTTTACATTCGTAATTACTTTGCTATGGAAAGTCATGATATCGGAGACGTCAAATATTCGTTTCGACATCAAAAGCCGTAATAATGGTGTCAAAAACTTTCATTATATACAGTTTTGGTATCGGTGTCAATGTCATTTTTAATAAAACAATATTTCGGTTTTTAAACGCAGACTTAGCAGTGCATTACGGATTTATTTTATTACTAATTATTCTAAAGTTACTTTCATTATAAACATTCTGAAGGAATTATTATCACATTACAGCAGACCCCTATAAAACGGGTTCGTATAATACGGATTTGTATAACACGGCGAAAGAATTGCGAACGTATTCGTATAACACGCTAAAAGAGACTCGTATAACACGATAAAACATCATCGCCGACTCGTGTCGCGACGGGATTGGTCGAATCTGGACCAATAGCGGATATTGCACAAACCGTTGAGTTTAAACAAGCAGCGGATATACTAAAATCCATTTATTATTTAACGGCCATAAAAATTATATTTATATTAATGATGTCTCCAAAGTTCAGCGAATTTTTTGCAGAAAAATAATTTATCAGAAAACACTCGCCCGCCGTTCGATGCACCGCTCTACGACGAAAACAAGCTTAAGCAATGGCGTCGTCGAACGGTGCACACTCAGTAAGTAATCCTACAATTTTTTGTTTATAGCATAGTTTATATGGATTAATCCCAAAAAATTATACGTGTTTTGTAAATGTTGAGTCAAATTAGTCTAGAATCGATTAATTTTATGGAAGAAAACCTTTCAAATAGCCGTAACCGCTAAACTGCACACGTGTCGGGCTGTGATTGGCTCGTGTATTTAAGTGACTCGTACAACACGGAATTCATATAACACGGAACGTATCTACTGTGTTATAGGGGTCTACTGTATAGTGATAGCAATAGTGAAAAACGTCCTTATGGATTCTCTATAGTGAAGAAATAAATGAAAGATAAATTGGAAAATAATTCTTTAGATATCTTTCAAATTATTATTCAAAGCAAGTGGCAGGTGTTGAATTTTTTCAACACCTTTAAATGGTATCTGTGGAAAATGCTCTAACTCGGAGCGAGGCGAAGCTGAGCAACGACTAACACTTGACTTGATGCATCCCTTGTCAACATTATAACTCTAGAATAACGGTCGGCAACCCGTGGTCCGCGAGAAAATTTGAGTGGTCCGTGGAGAAATTTGAACATTGATCAACCGAAAATTAAGCGAAGTATTACGAAAGAAATGCAAAATGCTTAGTTGCTTTTTTCACTCATTGGGGTTTTTAATTCAAATCTAAAACCAAAAACGAAGCGACTGTTATCAATAAATAATGAACAATAAACAATATTGTGAGTGCGATTGTCGTTATTCGAATCTAAAACTAAAACCAAAGTGACTGTTATCAATAAATAATGAACAATAAACAATATTGTGAGTGCGATTGTCGTTATTCGAATCTAAAACTAAAACCAAAGTGACTGTTATCAATAAATAATGAACAATAAACAATATTGAGAGTGCGATTGTTGTCCTTCGAGGAAAAGCGCGAAGAATCCATAAACTTGTTTCAAAGAAGCAGTAATGAACTTTAGGCTTGCATTAATTTGTTATAATTAAACATGTGAGTTTCATATTAATATAGTAAAATTGAACTTTTATTATCATTATTGTACAGATTTTGTATCGTTTAAAAAAATTCATGATAATGGTCCGCGGAATTCAAAATTGTGACTTTAGTGGTCCGTGAGGTGAGAAAGGTTGCCGACCGCTGCTCTAGAATGAGTTGTCTGATCGTGACGAAATTTTCTAGGACGACTCACCATCTCTCAAGGATGAACTGACTAAAATTTCAACTTTCAAAAATGATCCATTTTTGTAGAACTGGAGATAGAGGTCAAAACGAAGGTGACTCAGCTCTTGGTCTCTCCAAGTATTTGAATCTCTCAGTTAATGCCAGAATCATGCCGAGAGTCAACTTATGGGTGCAAGGAGGTCTCGTCAATGGTTCATTAAGAACTATACGCTACATTATATATGCTCCTAATGCTCGCCCTCCAGCTCTTCCTCTGTTTACTTTAGTGGAATTCGATAGCTATCAGGGACCTTTCATCTATGGTAATCCGTTTCCAATAATCCCCATAACACGCTCTTCGAACGATGGCAGCATATTATGATCTCGCAGTCAGTTTCCCCTTATCTTAGCATACTCGGTGACTATACATAAATCACAGAAATTAACTCTTCCAAAAATCAAAATAGATATAGGTAAAAAGAGATAGCTATCGGTCTTACCTATGTTGCATTCAGTCGAGTGAAGAAATAACTGACAGTATATTTAAACAGTTACAATAAAGATCGCTAAGAGTCAATCTAAGTCCAAGGACCATAGTGATAGACAGAATTTCATGATACGTTGGTACAGCAATTAATTAATGGCTTATTCTGACCTTATCTTTGTACCTTTAAATGATACAATAGAAATCAAATATATTGTTGAGAACGAATGATTCTTTCTCTTTTTTTCCCCTCATAATCTAGAAAATAAAGGTGCGAGCAGCCTCGCTCCGACTACACGCTGATACAGCATTACATAACCAGTGCTGATATTCGAAATATTTAACAAAGGGTTCGCTAACAAAATTTTTCCTTAACAATTTTTTTTTTTCGCTCAAATGGTGCATTAGCAACATTAGCGCAAAAACTGACCTTAAGATATCCATATAAATAAAAAAGATGCGTTTGCAAAATTAAGTCAGTTAAAATTTAACATTGTTTATGCCAGAACTA